TATCCCTATCTAACATTTGTTATCTGTACACGGGGGTTCACATTCGATTTAAAAATTTTAAATGCAAATATGATTAAAACGTGATAAATGAGTCATTACATTATTCTAAGCACGTTGTGAAGGCGGGGCCAGGAGCCAAGCTCGACCCAGGAAGACCATCTAGGTGAGAACACAGCCCAGCAGACACGGGCCTCACAATACAAGCACCGCTCCCTTCAATCACTCTGGCCAACTGCCTTTATTATGTACTATTACAAGACAAGCAGACAGTTGTAATCAATAGGTGTCTAATGGTCGATATAGACAGCTCGATATCAAGCTATAACAACCGTGCAGTTTGAAGTGGTATAACCTAACCATAAGCGCACGTAACTATCCTAGCATATTGAAGCCTATGCTCACTTGTCCAAAGACTCGTCAATATCGCAGTGCTTCCTAATGTCACTCATTATTACAGTGTCACTATTACATTACACTCATTATTAGTGTCACTGCAATATTACAGTGTCACTGTAATATTGCAGTGTCACTGTAATATTGCAGTGACACTTCCTAATGTGGGCCGCTGTAAAGGTCAATATTGAGGCAGCTGTCGGTAGCCAGCAAATTAGGCGGCCTCGTCAGCGCTGGTCGATGTGAACCAACATCATACACACTCTCAAAATACTAACGCACCTTTTTTCATTTAGATAATATGCGTAAAATTACCAATATGCCTTTTATATATTTGGATAACATACGTCACATTACCAAATTGCTGTAATGACTGACGTTACAATTTGCTTTGTAACGGCCCCAGGCTGCCGGAGCCAGGGGCCAGATTCACGAAGCAGTTACGCAAGCACTTACGAACGTGTACATCTTTCCTCAATCTTTGACGGCTTTGGTTACATTTATCAAACAGTTTACAAGCATGAAAACTTGCCAATCAACTGTTGTTATTGTTATAAACAGCCTCCTGGTGTTTCGGAGCTCATTAACTGTTTAATAATTGGAAACAAAGCCGCCAAAGATTGAGAAAAGATGTACAGGTTCGTAAGTGCTTTCGTGAATCTGGCCCCTGGCCGACACCCCTGCACGGCGCCTCTCACCCACTTAACTCTAATTCGTCAGTAATTGGCAGAAATGTCTCGGGTCTAACGACGCTAATTGGCGTAGTTAGGTATGTGGGTATACCCATTGATGGCGTATTGTAGTCAGTATATGACGTAATCAGTCTTACCATAAAGGGCATCATTATATACGCAGCAGCACGCACACATGTGGCACTTCGGTACGCATCAATCAATCTTATCATCCAAGGTGTCATTGCCTACACTTCATCATACCTCACTATGTCACTCACCACACACGGTGTAATTGCCTGAATTTACCTGAGGGCCATTAACACTCTAGTGGCCTAATTGAGGACAGAGAGCCGGCGGCTTGTCAAAGGTCCACCCTATTTGCCCTGATGATTTTCTCCCGCCGGATATTTAAAATGTAACGGAATTACCAGCAGTACGTGAACGAGGCGTCGTCTCGTTCCCAGCACGCTCCCGGTGGTACAGGCGGGCTCGTTCTCCACTCGCACACGGGAATTCCGGGTTCGAGTCCCGGGCGGAACAGAAATAGTCGGATACTCCACCACCCAAAGAATATGTTGTTTGGAAGGAAAAAATACCGATTTCGTCTACAATTGATGGACACACAACGTTTGTTGATTATCTGCTGTCCAGCTGACTGGTATTCTGCGCAACCCAGTACGCTGCTCTGGAGAAAGTGCAACACCGGGCAACAAAAATTAATTCCTGAACTAAGTCAACTCTCGTATTAGGAACAGTTGAGGGCCACAGGACTAACAACATTGCAAACCGGACATGACAGGGCTGATCTCATTGAAAGTTTTAAAATATTGAACAATTTGGAGGTCATTAACCCAGATCACATGCTCAGAAGGTCAGATGTAACACAAACAAGGAGCGAAGGTGACAAGCTCAACAAGCCACAGTATTGACCTGAGAACAGGTGATGCTTTTCCACCCACAGGGTTATGAACCATTAATTGGAACCGCCTACCCGCCGAAGCTGTAAATGCCAAACGATTGCTGCAATTTAAGATCCATCTTGATAAAAATCATCAGGTCAAATGAGGAGGGAGGAGGCCTTTAGCAAGCCGCCGGCTTCCTGTCCTCGTCGAGCCCACTAGTGAGATAGTGGCCCTCAGGTAAATTCAGGTAAATATGGTACTGTACTTATAACGTGTGGCAGCCACCACAACTGGTCACCCAGCGGGCAACTGATCTATAGTGTCCAGCATGTGAGGGCCGTGTTGTGGGCCGCTGGTACACCTGCTGAGGGCCGTGTTGTGGGCCGCTGGTACACCTGCTGAGGGCCGTGTTGTGGGCCGCTGGTACACCTGCTGAGGGCCGTGTTGTGGGCCGCTGGTACACCTGCTGAGGGCCGTGTTGTGGGCCGCTGGTACACCTGCTGAGGGCCGTGTTGTGGGCCGCTGGTACACCTGCGGCGTCATCCTCACAGTGTGACGCCTCACAGTATTATCAATGTGATCACGGCTATAATCCTCAACATGACAGCATCCATCATACTCCTTGACATTCATCAATACGCACACACACTCATCTTTCATCCCGTTCTCATCGACATTCCCAGCGTTCAGTAACTGACGTACTGAAGTGCCCTAACCTAACCAACCACAGGACTCATAAACAGAAAACGAAACATTATGTTAATTTCGCGAGCCGCTACCATTTTATTTATATACTAGCAGTACCCGGCCACGCGTTGCTGTGGCTCAGTGACGCATGTGCGTTGCTGAGCCACAGCAACCTTCCCTGTCCCCCCCACCATTCCCCCCTCACCCGTCCCCTCGTCCTCCCCATCATTCCCCACTACACCGTCCGATGCCTTCCCAAACGGTCTGATGTTCCCATCAGAAAATTGATAACATCAAGTGATCTGATGTTCCCATCACTGAAATATAAGAAAAACAGTTAAAAATGAAATGAAAATATGAAAAAATAAAAAAATAAACTATACTCATGAAACGAACGGTATGGTAAACAATACAGCTCAATTCCAACGCAATTCACACAAAATAATTAAATCAATATGAAAATAAATCAAATTCTATGAAAACTCAATTTATCAATGCAATCAGAAACATTGAAATGGAATTGTAACATATTTAGTATAGCATGTGTGTTGCTCTTACATGAAACAGATGGCGCTGTTTTTTAAGAAAACACATAGTTTTACCTGTCACAGGTGTGGCATCTATACTTATACTTACAAATTGAAGGGTATGGTAAACAACACAGCTCAATTCCAACACAATGTCACACAAAATAATTCAATTAAAAATAAAATGAATCGAAATCTATGAAAATAAAATTTATCAATGCAATCGGAAACATTGAAGTGAAATTCGTGACATATATAGTATAGGGTGCATGTTGCTATTATGTGCAACAGATGGCGCTGTTTTTCAAAAACACATTTTTTACCTGTCATAGGGATGGCATCTATATAGTAGGTATATAAAAAGACGCGCCTATTCGAATGCAACGTTGTGTCAAAATTTCAAAGCAATCGGTGAAGAACTTTCGGAGATTAACGTTGTGTGTGTGTGTGTGTGTGTGTGTGTGTGTGTGTGTGTGTGGGTGTGTGTGTGTGTGTGTGTGCGGGTGTGTGTGTGTGTGTGTGTGTGTGTGTGTGTGTGTGTGTGTGTGTGTGTGTGTGTGTGTGTGTGTGTGTGTGTGTGTGTGTGTGTGCGCGGGGGTGTGTGTGTGTGTGTGTGTGTGTGTGTGTGTGTGTGTGTGTGTGTGTGTGTGTGTGTGCGGGTGTGTGTGTGTGTGTGTGTGCGGGTGTGTGTGTGTGTGTGTGTGTGTGTGTGTGTGTGTGTGTGTGTGTGTGTGTGTGTGTGTGTGTGTGTGTGTGTGCGGGTGTGTGTGTGTGCGGGGGTGTGTGTGTGTGTGTGTGTGTGTGTGTGTGTGTGTGTGTGTGTGTGTGTGTGTGTGTGTGTGTGTGTGTGTGTGTGTGTGTGTGTGTGTGTGTGTGTGTGTGTGTGTGCGCGCGGGTGTGTGTGTGTGTGTGTTAAGTTAACTGCATGAAGAAATCTCAACATGTAATCCAATCCCCAATGTACGATTTTCATGAAGTCAGAAACGAAATCGGTAACTGAAACATGGGTCGTCACGACCGTAGAGTTTAACGGACTTTTTTCCCGAGTAACTGTAGTGGCCAGATAACACCTGGCCAGATATACATGGCCAGATAACACCTGTAATGAAGACCAGATACATGAACGGATACATAGATTGATTGACAGCTGAATGGATAGATGGATAAACAGACAGATGGATAAATAGATGAAGGGATATCGATATAGATGAATAGATGGATATATGGCTGGACGAATGAATTAATTGATATATGGACAAATAGATGAATGAATAGAAAGATAGATTGATGGATAGATCAGTGGATGGATGGACGGCAATCTGGATAGGTAGCAGGATGGACAGACGGATAGATGGATAAATAGATGGAGGATAGAGAGATATATAGAGATGGATGGATGGATGAGAGACAGACAGACACAGACACTCTCTGGTATGGATACCGTCATCCATAACCAGGTATGGATAACTCAGTAACATTTACCTGCCTCAGGTAGACTAAAGATAAGATATACTCATCTTCCACAGGTAGACTAAAGATAACATATACTCATCTTCCACAGGTAGACTAAAGATAAGATATACTCATCTTCCACAGGTAGACTAAAGATAACATATACTCATCTTCCACAGGTAGACTAAAGATAACATATACTCATCTTCCACAGGTAGACTAAAGATAACATATACTCATCTTCCACAGGTAGACTAAAGATAACATATACTCATCTTCCACAGGTAGACTAAAGATAACATATACTCATCTTCCACAGGTAGACTAAAGATAACATATACTCCCCTTTCATAGGTAGACTAAAGATGGCGTGGACCAACAACAGACTCCTCTACCTCGGTGAGTATACCTGGTATATCTGTCTACTTTCATAAGTATATTCCATCAAGGTTTACAACACTGCAACATGAAACATTAGTGTGCAGTTGATCACTAATGCACAGCTGGAAATTGAACACTAATGTACAGTTGAATGTTGAACACACTAATCCGTAGCTGAATACTGTCGTGGAGCTCAAAGTTCACAACAAAAGAAATAAAGTTTTCCCAGTGGCACAGGAACCGTTCAGAATAGGTTCGAATCCTTAAACACCTGAACAATGGGTTGTGATGCCAGCCACCTGGGCTGGACGGTAGAGCGACGGTCTGGCTTCATGCAGACCGGCGTTCAATCCCCGACCGGCCAAGTGGTTGGGCACCATTCCTTGCCCTTCGTCCCGTCCCAAATCCTTATCCTGATCTTTTCCCAGCGTTATATAATCGTAATAGCTTGGCGCTTTTCCCCTGATAACTCCTCCCCTCAAGTACTGAGCACACACAATACACGCTATGCGTACTATTGGCTGTACAAGAATGTAACAACTCTTGTATATATCTCAAAAAAAAAACAATACACATTACACAAGTCAGCAGTCATACCGGTGCAGAAAGGTCGAGGCTCGGTCCTAGATACGGACCGACGGACTCCGTCCTTACTGGACCGAGGCGGTCCGTGGTCCTTGCTCTCCTCGTTATATGTAAGTGAACGCTTAAATTTTACTGAAATATGCAATTGAATAGGTAGGTAAAATGGCTTACCTATGCAACCTGTTTTCTTTAAATAGTACCACGTATTTTGACGGATGTACATCATATTTTTTACAAAAGTACATCGTAATTTGGCCCTTTAAGCCCAAATTCATTGTGACTCTCAAAATTAACGTGATATCTCGTTTTCTATTCTATTTTATTTTTTATTTTTACAGCAGCGTGTTTGGTGTGTGTCAATACTGGGGCGGGGGAGTCTAGTGATCCTAGACAACTACGGTTTTCTACGACCACACCTGCTCCAAGCCTGTCAGTGCCCATGGCAACACCTGCTCCAAGCCTGTCAGTGTCCACGGCCACACCTGCCCCAAGCCTGTCAGTGCCCACGACCACACCTGCTCCAAGCCTGCTAGTGTCCTCTCTTCCACTGAGCCACAACACCTCATCAGATATCTTCAACCAATACAGGTAATCTTTTTCTCGTCTCAAGTGTAAATAGCTTAGACAGTATAGTTAATGAAGCAAATTAATTGCTGATGACACTACTTTCCTTTTCTCTAAATCTAACCCACTTATTCTAAATGACACTGTCAATATTGAACTAAAAAAAAAATTTGACCAATGGCTGACTGTCAACAGAACTTCCCCTTAATATTGATATTAAAATATTTCACGTATTGTTTAGTAAAGGTTCTCCAGAACAGATGTACCTAAGTGTTAACAATTCCCAAATAATGTGCAGATTTGAAGGTAAATTCCTCAGAGTTGACATTGATAACAACCTCAACTTCCATTGTCATCTACTAAATGCAATGTTGATCTACTAAAATGCAACAAAAAGTATCTTAAACAGTAGACATTCTCTCCAAGGTCAGATACTATGTCCCTCGCCTTGGTCACGCTCCATTAGTCTCTCTCATTAGTCTCATTAGTCACTCCATTAATCTCTCATCTCTCCATATCTCACCTATGTCATCTGCGTCTGGGTATTACACCCCATGATTACCTTCCACCACTAACTACTCAACATAATAAACAATCACAGCAGTTACAAACTCCAGCCCCAGATAGCACTTGGCTCCCTTACTGAAGTACTTGAATAAGTTAAGTGTAAGTGTCTGCACATCCTCGCAAGTGTGCTCTAAGTGTACACAACTCCACAGTACAGTGATGATCCTGACCTGAAGTGCTTCCATGAAGGGTGTATCAGGACCCCCAAGGTCTTCACACCAGAAACTAATATATTTCTAGTACTCCCCCCCCCCCCAAGAGTGCGACTTAACCAATCAAAACCTCAGTGCAAATCACGGGTCCTAAACTGTGGAATGACCTCCTTAAGGAGATTAACAATTGTACTGCTCTTGTCCAGTTTAAAAGATAAACTAAGACCTACTTTATTAACCTTAAGTAACCAATATTCCTCCGCTCTTGTCATCTTTGTTGTTAACCTGTGTTTTGTTCTTATTGTTAACCTGTGTTTTGTTCTTATTGTTAACCTGTGTTTTGTTCTTATTGTTAACCTGTGTTTTGTTCTTATTGTTAACCTGTGTTTTGTTCTTATTGTTAACCTGTGTTTTGTTCTTATTGTTAACCTGTGTTTTGTTCTTATTGTTAACCTGTGTTTTGTTCTTATTGTTAACCTGTGTTTTGTTCTTATTGTTAACCTGTGTTTTGTTCTTATTGTTAACCTGTGTTTTGTTCTTATTGTTAACCTGTGTTATGTTCTAATTGTTAACCTGTGTTTTGTTCTTATTGTTAACCTTACTTATTAATTACCTCATATTTGCTGTGACTAAATACTGATCTTCCTATATACCATAAAATATTGTATGTTATTGGTATAATATTGTATTGTTATTGTATGTTATTGTATATAAAATATTGTATGTTATTATTACTACTATTAGCATATGTGACATACTAATTTCTTGTGAATATTTGAGTTTACCTTGAAAAGCTGAATAGAAAACCACAACCTAACCTTCTTAGTATGTTAAGATATTACAATTAGTACTGAACCTATATTAATATTACAGTTTTATAAAAATAATAAAAGAAAACTAAAATATTTAAATAAATTGTAAAGTAACTCAGAATATTGTCAAATTTTGTATAAAATCTCTATTGTTTAATAAAACAGAGGAAAAGTTTGTGCCTTGAAAAAAATATGGGTTGGGATATCACATATGTACTTATTTATAAGCGTGATAGTGACTATAAGCACTAAGTCATATATGTGCTGTCTTGTGTGAGAGCAGGTTGTAGTAATTAGTAACTATATATATACTGATAAACAGTTTAGTATAAATGTATCTTGTTTGACAAATATTTTCACAACTTTCAATTCCCATAATTGTAAGTGTTCCCTAATGACACCTGTTCATTTTGTCTTACTTTTGTTCATGTTATGTTCTCGCTAAAAGCTGTACAACATTTGCAAAATGTCTTGAACAATTGTTATGTTAGGCTGCTTCTTGCTAGTATTGTCCACCTCACCTTTAAACAACCTAACTATTTTATCTTAAGTTACGCTTGAAACACCGCGTATTATAGTGTCTTTATGCCATGTTCTTGTCTGACCCATGTGTCTTCCCCTTATGTGTCACGTGTATCTACATTTGTCGAAATTATTAGTATATTATGATTATTAAAAATGAGAATTTGTATTCATAATAATAATAATAATAATAATAACAATAAAAATAATAATAATAATAATAATAATAATAATAATAATAATAATAATAATAATAAAGTGTACAAAGGAGATAAGCGGGAGTGAGAGGTGTGGGGGCGGGAGGTACACACTAAGGAAGCCAACTCTACGCGAAACGTTTCACGGAAAACGTTGAATAATTTAAATAACAATTATTTACAAGTGTAAAGGCGTAAACATTTAATATTAAAAGTGAAGTGACTTAACATGCGTGAGAATATTCAAGAAATATAACGATATAGCTGGATTTTTGCATCCAAGAGAGAAGACCATCTTCAGAAAGACAGCTTCATTTGATAAGGTGCAACACCGGGCAACAAAAATAATTCCAGAGCTAAGTTAACTCTCATACCAGGACAGGTTGAAGGCCCCATGGCTAAGGCTAAGAACACTACAAACCAGACCTGACAGGGTTGATCTCATCGAAACATGTAAAACACTGAACAATTTGGAGGATGTTGATCAAGACATCTTCAAAACGTCAGATGTAACACAAACAAGGAGCAACGGTGGCTCAGCAAGCCACAATGTAGGACGGAGAACATGAGATTCTTTTTCACCCACAGGGTTATAAACCCATGGAACCGCCTACCCGCCGAAGCCGTAAATGCCAAAACTCTGTTGAACTATAAAATCCAGTTTGAAAAAAAAATCATCAGGACAAATAGGGGGACCTTTGATAAGTCGCCGGCTCTCTGTCCTCATCGACGCCACTAGTGTTAGTAGCCCTCAGGTAAATATACAATGTAAAGGTGAAAATTAAAGATGCCTTATGTTAATTTAATTTAATTTGAGTAGGGTTGACTTGGGTTAGGCTTGGTTAAGTTAGATTAGGCTGTTAGGTTGGGCTTTAAAATCCATTTTCAAAGTAACTTTGGTTGTGTACAAAGTAACCTAACTATAACTGATACTTAAAGATAGACATAGACGATTACATTATGGAGTCTGTAGTGCTAGCAACAGTACAGTAGTTTTTAACATTAGTAAGAGAATTGAAATATAAATGTGTGAAAGAGGTGCGGACCAAGTACACTGCCCTGGGGAACACCACCCCACACTCCTCAGAGTACATGTCAGTCAACACATGCAGGTCGGGAAGCAAACCATCGGCAGTAGAAAAGGCGGATCGACTTTGAAGGCACGAGTTATAAGAGTACACAAACATACACGTTTCTCATCTATATAAATAAAAATGTAAATGTTGGTTTGTTCAAAACCGCTAATCTCCGAAAGTTTTTCGCCGATTGCTTTGAAATTTTTACACAATATTACATTCGAATATGTGCGTGTTTTTATATACCTACTATATAAATACTCACATGTGACAGATAAAAACATGCTTTTATTTTAAAAAACAGCGCCATTTGTTGGATGTAATGGCAATACACGCTATACTAAATATGTTACAATTCCATTTCAGTGTTTGTAATTGCATTGATAAATAGAATTTTCATAGATTTTGATTTATTTTCATTTTTATTTAACTATTTTGTGTGACATTGTGTTGGAATTCAGCTGTGTTGTTTACCATACTGTTCATTTTGTAAGTATAAGAATAGATGCCACACCTATGACAGGTAAAAACATTCTTTTTTTAAGAAACAGAGCCATCTGTTGCACGTAAGAGCAACACTCGCTATACTAAATATGTTACGATTCCATTTCAGTGTTTCCGATTGCATTGACAAATTTAATTTTCACAGATCTCGATTTATTTTCATTTTGATTTAATTACTTTTTATGACATTGCATTGGAATTGAGCTGTGTTGTTTACCATACTGTGTTGTTTTTCTTATATATCAATGATGGGAACATCAGATCATTTGGGAATGCATCGGACGAGGGAGTGGGGAATGTTGGGAAAGACGAGGGGACTGGGGAGAGGGTAATGGTGGGGAGGACGAGGGGACGGGGGGAGTTGGGGATGGTGGGGACGAAGGGACAGGGGAATAGAGAATGGTGGGGAGGACGACGGGATGGGGGCGTAGGGAATGGTTGGGAGGACGAGAGGACAGGGGAGGACTGGGAGACAGGGGAAGGTTGCTGATGCTCAGCAGAGCACATGCGTTGCTAAGCATGTGCTCAGCAACGCGCAGCACTACATACACCACCAACGCGTGGCCGGGTACAGCTAGTCTTAGAATAAAATTAAATAAATCCCAAGTTCAGACTTTTCTATAAATTAACGCTTGAGTAATAATTATCATACAAATAAAGTCTTGTCTTAGCAAGACCATTAACTCACCAATACCAAAGTTTCCTGACTTTAGTATAATATTAACCGTTAAGTTATCAACACTAGGTTTCCTGACTTAGTATACTGGTGTGTTAGTAACGATTAAGTCAGTCAGGAGGTAAGTTAGGAGCCACGTACTAAGTTACCATCTTTGGGGACCAGGCAGGAGAGGTCCAACTTGGGGGCCAGGCAAGAGAGAGCCGGGAGAGACGAGGTCGCCGCCCTCCTGACGCTGTTGACCCTTGACCTCCCGCAACCCAACATCTACCTCCTCCACGACCAGTCCTTCCTCGGTAAGTACACTGACCAGTCCTTCCTCGGTAAGTACACTGACCAGTCCTTCCTCGGTAAGTACACTGACCAGTCCTTCCTCGGTAAGTACACTGACCAGTCCTTCCTCGGTAAGTACACTGACCAGTCCTTCCTCGGTAAGTACACTGACCAGTCCTTCCTCGGTAAGTACACTGACCAGTCCTTCCTCGGTAAGTACACTGACCAGTCCTTCCTCGATAAGTACACTGACCAGTCCTTCCTCGGTAAGTACACTGACCAGTCCTTCCTCGGTAAGTACACTGACCAGTCCTTCCTCGATAAGTACACTGACCAGTCCTTCCTCGGTAAGTACACTGACCAGTCCTTCCTCGGTAAGTACACTGACCAGTCCTTCATGGATCATGGTAGTGAAGATGATATCTTAAAGTGGACGACGGTAGTGAAGATGATAAAGTGGATGCTGGTAGTGTCAGGTGAGAGTGGGACAGAGGGTCACTATACCTGGCCTCACACCCTGAAGGGTAACTGGTTGAAGGCACTCCAACAGTTCTGGTCCCCCGGGGGGGGGGCTCTCTTTACCATATTAATAAATGACTGTGAGACACCACTATAAATGTTGTGAGGTGCCGAGTGTAAGTGTAATAGATGTTAATGTTTACATTGTGACGGCGAGTATAAGTGAAATAGATGTTAATGTTTACATTGTGACGGCGGCGCTGTACTCCGGCGTGGACGACCTCCAGGCGCGGAGGAGGTGTTGGGAGGCTTCCAGCAGGCCTCAGGGAGGCCCGTGACGGTGCTGAGGCTCTTCCAGGGGCACGACTCCCAGGGGCACGACTCCCAGGGGCACGACTCCCAGGGGGACGACGACCTCTCCCTGCTGCAGGGGGCTCTCACCCTCCCACAGACGCATTCAGGCTTCAAGCACTTCCTTGTCCTCTGCTCGCTCAAACACACTCTCAGTGTCTTCCAATATGTAAGTAACAAGAAAGTAGTGTAATTGACGACTACGACCGTGAATGCATCCTGACTTGCAATGTTGCAAGGAAAAAATGGTATATGCAACATGTTGCAAACTTTGCCGCATTTTTCAACATGAAATAATAGAGTAAAAAGAGAGTATGTAGTGATTGACCCGTTGTTTCCAACGGGTCATTCCAAAAGGGAAATTCCAAAGTGGTATTCCAAAAATGTTTTGTACAGTTTCAAATTGATTTGTACAGTAACATTTGTGCGAAATTCGCACAAATGTTACTCACGGGGCCCCAGCATGATGAAGTAATTTTATGAAATATTTGTGCTCAAACTGGTCACCGAGTGCTGTCGGGAATTGGGTTAAGGGTCTGATGATTTCCAATTCTTTTGGACAGTTCCTGTGACCTAGTGGTTAAAATACTGGACACATCAATACATCAATGTGCATGGAGTCCTGGTTGTCTGGGTTCGAATCCTACAGTGGTGAGGAGTTTCTCTCTCTCTACATATATATATATATATATATATATATATATATATATATATATATATATATATATATATATATATATATATATATATATATATGTCGTACCTAGTAGCCAGAACGCACTTCTCAGCCTACTATGCAAGGCCCGATTTGCCTAATAAGCCAAGTTTTCATGAATTAATTGTTTTTCGACTACCTAACCTAACCTAACCTAACTTTTTCGGCTACCTAACCTAACCTAACCTATAAAGATAGGTTAGGTTAGGTTAGGTAGGGCTGGTTAGGTTCGGTCATATATCTACATTAATTTTAACTCCAATAACAAAAATTTGACCTCATTCATTATGAAATGGGTAGCTTTATCATTTCATAAGAAAAAAATTAGAGAAAATATATTAATTTAGGAAAACTTGGCTTATTAGGCAAATCGGGCCTTGCAAGTGTGTGTGTAAATCACGAAAATTAACACGTGAAGTAAAATGTGATAGTATCAGATCACGAAGGAAGGATTGAAACAGGAATTCCCTTAAGAAACTGTCTGGATCAACATCCTCCAAATTGTTCAGTATTTAAAAAGTTTCAATGAGATTCAGCCTATCATGTTTGGTTTGTAGTGTGTTTAGCTCTGAGGCCCTCAACCATTCCTGATATGAGAGTTGATTTAGCTCTGAAATAATTTCGGTTGCCCAGTGTTGCACTCTCTCCAGACGAAAGAACTGTATATGTAGTTTTTGGTTTCGGTGCATTGTTACAGAACACAACCTTTGCAACAATGGAACATGTTGCATATTCCAGTTTTCTATACTTACAACAATGCATTGCAACACCGCAAGCCAGGATTATGTGTATGGTCGTAGTCGTCAATTACACTACTAAAATACACCCTGCATGTCTGCCACAATATGTGTGTGACAGAGAGAGAGAGAGATCAGCTATATTATTACACAACAGTCCCAACTTACCTTCTATCTCTGCCTCAACTTACTACAGGTGCGGGAGAAGCAGCTGGAGTCCCCGAGGCTGTGGTGGCTGGTGGTGGTGGTGGAGCCTGAAGCACCAGACACCCTGCAGCACCAGCTGTGGGAGGGATCACTGGTGAGTGGTGGTGGTGGTGGTGGTGGTGGAGGTGGTGGTGGTGGTGGTGGTGGTGGAGCCTGAAGCACCAGTCACTCTGCAGCATTTTATGTTGTATTAAGTCGATGGATTGTCCCTTCCAGACAACCCACCAAAATCTTGAAGTGTTTATACTCTTTGCCAGAAGATCACCCTGTACGCTTCTTGCTTTTGGAGAGGGGCTCAGCGTCACGTGTTTAGGGGATGCGGCTCTAGCACTGGCCTCGTTGTCACGTGCACGCACCCACTTGAGCCGCCGTGACTCCCCACTCTCTCCCTGGTTGGTATGATCTCCTTAATCCCCTTTACTGAATTATTATTCTGCACTACCATGTCCACAGCTATGGTTCTTTCTCTCTCTCTCTTTTCTGCTTTCTGGGATGCTTCACCAGGACAAGGGCAAACACGGGTAAATTATATACATTTACTAGACAGAAAACATATATATCACACATACAAGAATAATATGACTCCAACACTCTATGATATTATAGTCGGGTTGCAATCCAATACCGTCAGGACTCTATCAGCTGCTTATACCAGGTGGTAGCCCAACTCTTAGCTTGCCACTTATGCTATCAACCTCACCAAGTGGGTCAAATCTTATAAGACAATTATGACACTATCAACCTCACCTAGAGGGTCAAACCTTGTAAAACAAATATGGCATTAACAGCCCTAGAACATACATATACACATATATCTCTGCAGGTAATCCAGCCTACAGTTGTAATTCAATAAACTTCGGTATAAATATTCCTTGGCATAGAAATGATAATGAATCACCCACCTTCCACTGCGTCTTGCACGGTAATGGCAACCAAACACTCTACCAACTCCCTACAAGTAGTCAATAAGAACTTCCTTCCCACATCTGGGAGTTCACTATCCTGACATCTTCAGGTTCTTCCAGGTTTATCTACCAGGATCCTCTGCAGCTCTTCCAGGCTGCAGAGGTTTCGTCACGCGTCCCGATGACGTTATTTCCTCCGATGACAGCCTTTGAAAAAGGCAAACCAATGATGCTCCACCACTGGTATTACAGAAGCATGTGAAACTTCACTTCACTGCTCCTCTTCTCACAGCTTGAGACCCTGCTCCTCACTGTATGGCTGCTCCTCCACAGAGCTCAGTACCTTCCACAACCTTGGAGTCTCATCCACTACTCCTCCTCTGCTAGCTCGAAGTTCATAGCAACTCCTTCCCCATGCAAACCTGCAACCCATCGATACGCCAATAAAAATGTTCCTCTGCAAACATATGATGAAAATAAACTACATAATAAATGTCTCCACTCGACATTCCTCTGACTACTGCCTGTCGTGAGGACTCCCCCACACCCGGGCGAGTCCATCCTCCACTTCCCGGGGCGGCCCGCCCGCCACAAGCTGCCAGCTGGTCAGTCACCTGCAAGCTATCGGCAAGAGAGGATGTACTGCTGCTCCTCACCTCAGCTAGTCCTTCCATCTCCACACTCTTATGAAGGCTTTCTGCCTTAACACAATATGTCTAATATCTCAATAAACGTTCCTATGGTCGCTGGGCACACGACCAACTGCAGACAATCACTATAAACTGTTTAAAATGCTTACCACAGATATTATTTCCTGCAAGGGCGCTTACTCATTGAGGGCCGACGCCCGGGCGCCCTCGGCTGCCTACAAAACTGCATCAAATACTGCTCCACAATCTTTCTGTAGTTTACGACTTGAGCTCAGACGTCCACAGCCTTATTTCACAAGCTAGACGTCTGTCCATTTCCTTCTTCTTGAAGGTATATCACACAGAGGTTCTTCTTCACTAGGGGCTCAAACGGAGCACCCCCTCCCCTCACCATCTCTTTAGCTCAAGTGAGCTCAAGCTCCTCTGAAGCGAGCCTCACACCTCCAACAAACTCTCCATATCTCATGACCAGTCATTTATAATGGTTCATGGTTCACTACCTATATTTTTAAACTATTTGTCAAATTTAACCAATTGTTTTACGTATGTATCTTCATGTCTATAATTCTTTGACCTCTGAGTCCGGTCAGGTCTTGCAGAATAACTCTCAAGGGGGAGACTCGTTTCTCCTGCAGACTGAAATCATAACAAGCACCAGCTGTGGCAGGGATCACTGTTGAGTGGTGGTGGTGGTGGTGGTGGTGGTGGTAGTGGTGGTAGTGGTGGTGGTGGTGGTGGTGGTGGTCGAGAATGGTGGAGCGTCTGACTGTGTGACGAAGAGTCAGCATGGATTTAGAAATGGAAAGTCGTGCCTGACAACCCTGACTAAGTTTTCTGACAGGGTTACTAAACTAATGCAGAAAATTATCCTAGATTCTCAGAAGCGCAGTTGACACTGTTTCTTATGAAAGGCTTTTACACAAGATGGAGAAGCAGGCTGTTGTACAGGATGGAGAAGCAGGCTGTTGTACAGGATGGAGAAGCAGGCTGTTGTACAGGATGGAGAAGCAGGCTGTTGTACAGGATGGAGAAGCAGGCTGTTGTACAGGATGGAGAAGCAGGCTGTTGTACAGGATGGAGAAGCAGGCTGTTGTACAGGATGGAGAAGCAGGCTGTTGTACAGGATGGAGAAGCAGGGTGTTGTACAGGATGGAGAAGCAGGCTGTTGTACAGGATGGAGAAGCAGACTTGTACAGGATGGAGAAGCAAGCTGTTGTACAGGATGGAGAAGCAGGGTGTTGTACAGGATGGAGAAGCAGGCTGTTGTACAGGATGAAGAAGCAGGCTGTTGTACAGGATGGAGAAGCAGGGTGTTGTACAGGATGGAGAAGCAGGCTGTTGTACAGGATGGAGAAGCAGACTGTTGTACAGGATGGAGAAGCAGGCTGTTGTACAGGATGGAGAAGCAGGCTGTTGTACAGGATGGAGAAGCAGGCTGTTGTACAGGATGGAGAAGCAGGCTGTTGTACAGGATGGAGAAGCAGGCTGTTGTACAGGATGGAGAAGCAGGCTGTTGTACAGGATGGAGAAGCAGGCTGTTGTACAGGATGGAGAAGCAGGCTGTTGTACAGGATGGAGAAGCAGGCTGTTGTACAGGATGGAGAAGCAGGCTGTTGTACAGGATGGAGAAGCAGGCTGTTGTACAGGATGGAGAAGCAGGCTGTTGTACAGGATGGAGAAGCAGGCTGTTGTACAGGATGGAGAAGCAGGCTGTTGTACAGGATGGAGAAGCAGGCTGTTGTACAGGATGGAGAAGCAGGCTGTTGTACAGGATGGAGAAGCAGGCTGTTGTACAGGATGGAGAAGCAGGCTGTTGTACAGGATGGAGAAGCAGGCTGTTGTACAGGATGGAGAAGCAGGCTGTTGTACAGGATGGAGAAGCAGACTTGTACAGGATGGAGAAGCAGGATGGAGAAAGGCTGTTGTACAGGATGGAGAAGCAGGGTGTTGTACAGGATGGAGAAGCAGGCTGTTGTACAGGATGAAGAAGCAGGCTGTTGTACAGGATGGAGAAGCAGGGTGTTGTACAGGATGGAGAAGCAGGCTGTTGTACAGGATGGAGAAGCAGACTGTTGTACAGGATGGAGAAGCAGGCTGTTGTACAGGATGGAGAAGCAGGCTGTTGTACAGGATGGAGAAGCAGGCTGTTGTACAGGATGGAGAAGCAGGCTGTTGTACAGGATGGAGAAGCAGGCTGTTGTACAGGATGGAGAAGCAGGCTGTTGTACAGGATGGAGAAGCAGGCTGTTGTACAGGATGGAGAAGCAGGCTGTTGTACAGGATGGAGAAGCAGGCTGTTGTACAGGATGGAGAAGCAGGCTGTTGTACAGGATGGAGAAGCAGGCTGTTGTACAGGATGGAGAAGCAGGCTGTTGTACAGGATGGAGAAGCAGGCTGTTGTACAGGATGGAGAAGCAGGCTGTTGTACAGGATGGAGAAGCAGGCTGTTATACAGGATGGAGAAGCAGGCTGTTGTACAGGATGGAGAAGCAGGCTGTTGTACAGGATGGAGAAGCAGGCTGTTGTACAGGATACAGAAGCAGGCTGGTATAACTGAGGAAACACGGGACTGAGTAAGAGAGTATCTGAAGGACAGAAAACAAAGAGTCACAGCCGGAGAGAAGGTTTCCATCTGGAGGAATGTAACAAGTGGTGTCCTACAATACTCGGTCCTGGGACCACTACTGTTCTTAATATATGTGAACGACCTACCCTAGGGAGTGAGCTCGTACGTGTCAATGTCTGCAGATGACACAAAGCTGATGAGAAATATAAAAACAGAGAACTGCAGGAAGTTACAGGAGGACCTAGACAGTCTCCAGGACTGGTCAAACAAATGGTTCTGGAATTCAATCCCAACAAAAAGCAAAGTATCGTCCTAAACGGAAATGAATCTGACTGAGAAATGTGGTGAGCTGGGTACTGCAAGGTGCCTTTTTGGTGCCAACCCTTTTTGTCATACATTAATGCCTTAGATGAGAATATTACAAACCACATCATAAAATATGAAGATGACACTAACATTTATGGTAAAGTATGAAGTGGCAATGATATTAAGGCCTTACAAAGCGATCTGTATGAACGTCATAAATGGTCAGAAGAATGGCAAATGCTTTTTAACATAAACAAAATTCAAGCCCCCTTGTATGTGGGGCACAACAGAGCACTACACAGCTCCCAAATCAACAACATTACCTTGCAGCATCGGGCTCACCATAGCCCGTGCTACATGGAACTTTGTTCCAGGTAGCGAATCTTTAACAACAACAACAACCTTGCAACAGATTAACGAAGAAAAGAACCTTCCAGTAAGACTTCACCATTCACTGAACAGTGCACAAGTGTTAGCTGGGGTAACAATATGAAAACCAAATCCTGGGAATAATCAAACAACATTTTGACTTCAAGGAAAAGAAGGTACTTGAGCAGCTACATGTATCTTTGGTGTCCCTCACCTGGATTATTATATCCAAGCTTGCCGGCCTCATCTCTAGAAAGACATAACTGTTCTGGAGAAACTTCAAGGCCTGGCGAGTAAAGTCATTCCAGAGCAAGTCAACTCTCCTACCAGGAACGGTTGAGGGCCACAAGACTAACAACACAGCAAACCAGACATGACAAGGCTGATCTCATCGAAACTTATAACATACTGAACAATTTGGAGGACGTTTATCTAGACAACTTCTTCAAACCATCAGATGTAACACGAAGAAAGTGCAACGGTTTCAAGCTCAACAAGCCACAAACAAGGCAGATAAAGATAGACTATTTAACACGGGTGGTACACGAACAAGGGGACACAGGTGGAAACTGAGTACCCAATTGAGCCACAGGGACGTTAGAAACACCTTTTTCAATGTCAGAGTAGTTAACAAATGGAATGCATTAGGCAGTGATGTGGAGGCTGACTCCATACACAGTTTGAAATGTAGATATTGTAGAGCCCAGTAGGCTCAGGAACCTGTACACCAGTTGACTGACAGTTGAGAGGCGGGACCAAAGAGCCGAAGCTCAACCCCTGCAAGCACAACTAGGTGAGTACAACTAGGTAAGTACAACGCAGGACGGAAAACAGGAGCTGCTTTTTCACCCATAGTTATAACCCCATGGAACCGCCTACATGTTCAAGCCATTAATGCCAAAACGCTGTTGAACTTCAAAATCCAGCTGGACCGAATCATCATGACAAAGGGGGGCACTTTCGACAAGCCGCCGGCTTCCTCGGCCGGCGAAGGTAGAAGCTCTCCCAGGCTTGGTAGGTAGCTAAGGAATGAGAAGAGATCGGCGAGTCCTACAATCACTGCCAACATGTTCACTACGGTCGGAGTAGAGGGGGATGAGAGGGTCGCCTCACAGGCTACATGGGCGGTTGCTATATGTACCTTCCTGCCCCGGGCGTGGGCGGCTTCCCTAAGCATGTACCGCCCTCCACCCATGGGCCGTCCTCCACCCATGGGCCGCTCTCCGCCCATGGTCCGCCCTCCGCCCATGGTCCGCCCATGGGGGTGCCCTCCACCCATGGGGCCGCCCTCCACCCATGGGCTGCCCTCCACCCATGGGGCCGCCCTCCGCCCATGGTCCGCCCTCCGCCCATGGGCTGCCCTCCACCCATGGGCCGCCCTCCACCCATGGACCGCCCTCCACCCATGGGCCGTCCACCACCCATGGGCCGCTCTCCACCCATGGGGCCGCCCTCTACCCATGGGGCCGCCCTCTACCCATGGGGCCGCCCTCTGCCCACGGGCCGGCCTCCGCCCACGGGCCGCCCTCCACCCATGGGCCGCCCTCCACCCATCAGGGCGCACTACTGCCTCTCAGAACACTCCCGCCGGCGGGAAATTTAATGTGGTTCACCCACACCAATAATGACTAATAATAAAAGCCAAAATAAAGTGATCACCATAATAAGAGTAACAAGACATACAAATAACGACAGTAATTAAGCTTACCTTAAATGCGAGCATATTTTATTAAAGCTCAGTATATAGGTCCGTTGTCTGGAGGAAGTCTTGTTTACTTTATGTGTTGTGTGTGTGTGTGTGAGACCTTCAGGCGACTGTCCGGTGTTGCAGGTGACGCTGGCGGTGAGGACCACACCCACCACCTACACCCTCATGACCTCCAGGGTGGCCGCCTCCTCCGGCCTCCCTAGGTAAGACCTCCTCCGGCCTCCCTAGGTAAGACCTCCTCCGGCCTCCTTAGGTAAGACCTCTTCTGGCCTCCTTAGATAAGACCACCTCCGGCCTCCCTAGGTAAGACCTCCTCCGGCATGACCTCTTCTGGCCTCCTTAGGTAAGACCTCCTCCGGCCTCTCTGGGTAAGACCACCTCCGGCCTCCCTAGGTAAGACCTCCTCCAGCCTGCCTAGGTAAGACCTCCTTGAAGAACTTCACTCAATGTTCTATATATTTACTTCTCGTTTGCTTTGATTCGCAAGTATGTATTTTTGTTAGCCCCATAATTACGTTTTCTTTAATTCAGTCCATGTATTACAATTTCTCTTATGGCTTAATTGTGGCGGTAACTATCTTCTTTTCGTTATGGCTGTGAGCCTTATCTATATAAATAAAAATGGAAATGTTCGTTTGTGCATAATCGCTAATCTCCGAAAGTTCTTCACCGATTGCTTTAAAATTTTCACACACCGTTCCATTCGCATCTGAGCAAGTTTTTATATACATACTATATAAATGTCACGTCTGTGACGGTAAGAAAAAACATGCTTTTTCTGAAAAACTGTGTTTCATGTGAGGGGAAATCTTTGAAACCTCTTTACCGATTGCTTTGAAATTTTGACACAACGTTGCGTTCGAATAGGTGCGTCTTTTTATATATCTACTATATACATACCTCACCTGTGACAGGAAAAAACATGTTTTTTTTTTTTTAAACAGCGCCATCTGTTGGACATAAGAGCCACACACATGCTATACTAAATATGTTACAATTCCATTTCAATGTTTGTGATTGCATTGATAAATTGAATTTTCATTGATTTTGATTTATTTTCATATTGATTTAATCATTTTGTGTGAATTGCGTTGGAATTGAGCTGTGTTGTTTACCATACCGTTCGTTTCATGAGTATAGTTTATTTTTTAATTTTCATATTTTCATTTTATTTTTTAACTGTTTTTCTTATATTTCAGTGATGGGAACATCAGATCACTTGATGTTATCAATTTTCTGATGGGAACATCGGACGAGGGAGTGGGGAATGGTGGGGAGGACGAGGGGACGGGGGAGTGGGGCATGATGGGAAGGAAGAGGGGATAGTGGAGTGGGGAATGGTGGGGAGGACAAGGGGACGGTGTAGTAGGGAATGGTTGGGAGGCCGAGGAGACGGGTGAGGGGGGAATGGTGAGGAGGACTGGGGGACAGGGACGGTTGCTGTGGCTAAGCAACGCACATGCGTCGCTGAGTCACAGCAACGCCTGGCCGGGTACTGCTAGTAAAGTAATATTTTATTTGTAAAAAATTACAGAGGACCTGATTACCCTGATTAATTATTAGGAAAAGCATTTGTATTTGTTTTTTCTAACACCAGTAATTACGTGCAGCGTCCCAGACATAAAATCATGAATATTACGTTTTTCATTGTAGAGGACATAATACTTATAGGATTACTTAATACTTATGTTTGGCTCTGTTTACACTAACAAATCTTTCTTTGGTAAAGATTCATCATGGCTGCACTTGTGTCATCATATTCATCTTGGCTGCACTTGTGTTAGCGTAAAGATTCATCATGGCTGCACTTGTGTTAGCGTAAAGATTCATCATGGCTGCACTTGTGTTAGCGTAAAGATTCATCATGGCTGCACTTGTGTTAGTGTAAAGATTCATCATGGCTGCACTTGTGTTAGCGTAAAGATTCATCATGGCTGCACTTGTGTTAGCGTAAAGATTCATCATGGCTGCACTTGTATTAGCGTAAATATTCATCATGGCTGCACTTGTGTCATCATATTCATCATGGCTGCACTTGTGTCATCATATTCATCATGGCTGCACTTGTGTCATCATATTCATCATGGCTGCACTTGTGTTAGCGTAAAGATTCATCATGGCTGCACTTGTGTTAGCGTAAAGATTCATCATGGCTGCACTTGTATTAGCGTAAATATTCATCATGGCTGCACTTGTGTCATCATATTCATCATGGCTGCACTTGTGTCATCATATTCATCATGGCTGCACTTGTATTAGCGTAAAGATTCATCATGGCTGCACTTGCATTAGCGTAAAGATTCATCATGGCTGCACTTGTATTAGCGTAAAGATTCATCATGGCTGCACTTGTATTAGCGTAAAGATTCATCATGGCTGCACTTGTGTTAGCGTAATGATTCATCATGGCTGCACTTGTGTCATCATATTCATCATGGCTGCACTTGTGTCATCATATTCATCATGGCTGCACTTGTGTCATCATATTCATCATGGCTACACTTGTGTCATCATATTCATCATGGGTGTATTTAAGCTGTTCCATGTCCGTCCTACAATAACATCAACACATTCAGGTTGGAGGCCATCGGCACCTGGGAAGTGGGCCCAGGAGGCCCCAGAGGACACCTGACGGAGCCGCTCCTGCCGGACCCCAACACGCTCTACGGGAACATGGGCGGCCGTCAGCTGGTGGTGTCAGCCAATGCTGACTGGCCCTTCTTCGGCCTCAAGCCCCTTCCTGGCGGAGGCGTTCAACCGGACTCCGGCATCGATATCCAAATTATGAACACGTTGGGACAGTTTCTAAATTTTACGTGAGTATCCCTTCCTTCCGTCGTCTTGCAGCGGTTAAGACAAGAAGGGAAATATCCTCCAGCAGGCAACAGAGTACTGGCTGTGTCCTCCTCCTCCTGTAGTATCCTCCAGCAGGCAACAGAGTACTGGCTGTGTCCTCCTCCTCCTGTAGTATCCTCCAGCAGGCAACATAGAGTACTGGCTGTGTCCTCCTTCTCCTGTAGTATCCTCCAGCAGGCAACAGACTACTGGCTGTGTCCTCCTCCTCCTGTAGTATCCTCCAGCAGGCAACAGAGTACTGGCTGTGTCCTCCTCCTGTAGTATCCTCCAGCAGGCAACATAGAGTACTCTCCAGGGCCCCACTAACCCTCGGCTTCCATGTTCGACTGTTGCTTCTTTTATTCTTAGTGACCCCGTGCTATATTGATATATTCTATGTACTAATTGTTGGAAAAAACTCATCAGGAACAATGAGGAAGACCAAATACAAGCCGCCGGCTTCCCTTCCCCCGTGGAGGCAGCTAGAGGGGTGGCGGCTCTCTGGTAAATAACGCTGGCATCAATCCGCCCGAGATAATCTGGACGGACAACGTTGATGTAACACTAAACTTGAGATCATCCAACATCGATTAAACGGTGCTATATATCCCTTCGTATATACCTAAGACCCCCCATAACAGCCCATAAATTTATAACATGGTCAGTGGGGAGGGCCGCTTCCAGACGGTCAGTGGGGAGGGCCGCTTCCAGACGGTCAGTGGGGAGGGCCGCTTCCAGACGGTCAGTGGGGAGGGCCCCTTCCAGATGGGCAGTGGGGAGGGCCCCTTCCAGATGGGCAGTGGGGAGGGCCGCTTCCAGACGGTCAGTGGGGAGGGCCACTTCCAGACGGTCAGTGGAGAGAGCGACTTCCAGACGGTCAGTGGAGAGAGCGACTTCCAGACGGTCAGTGGCGAGAGCGGCTTCCAGACGGTCATTGGTGAGGGCCCCTTCCAGATGGGCAGTGGGGAGGGCCGCTTCCAGACGATCAGTGGTGAGGGCCCCTTCCAGATGGGCAGTGGGGAGGGCCGCTTCCAGACGGCAGCGTGTTTGGGCTTACATTTAGAAGGCATGTGGGCCGGGTGCCCTATGAATACCTACTGTACATTCCCTCTCACTAATATTACTAATATTACACTGTCAGGTACCGGGTAGTGTCGCCCGATGACGGTCATTGGTGAAGGCCGCTTCCAGACGGTCAGTGGCGAGAGCAGCTTCCAGACGGTCAGTGGTGAGGGCCCCTTCCAGATGGGCAGTGGGGAGGGCCGCTTTCAGACAGTCAGGGTGAAGGGCCGCTTCCAGACGGTCAGTGGTGCTTCCAGACGGCAGCGTGTTTGGGCTTACAAGATAGAAGACATGTGGGCCGGGTGCCCTATGAATACCTACTGTACATTCCCTCTCACTAATATTACACTGTCAGGTACCGGGTAGTGTCGCCCGCCGACGGCCAATGGGGAGGGCCGCTACCAGACGGCAGCGTCTCTGGTGTGATAGGACAGGTGGCGCGCAGGGAGTCTCACCTCGCCATCTGCGAGATTACAATTACAGGTGAGGCGCCAGCTGGTAGGTCTATAAGGACTGCCAATAATTATGCCCAATTCCTTCATACCTATATTATTGAAACAATCGTAACAATAATAATAGAGAAAATGTTGTAAACCTATAGATTTTAATTCCGGGACAGTTTGTAATGTTTCCAGAATCGGCAGATGGCCATTTAGCACGTTTGAGGCCTAGCTGGTGTCGAGGCTGCACAGCTGGTGTTGAGGCTGTAGAGCTGGTGTTTGTACAACGGACACGGATTGAGGAATGAATGGCTGGGTAGAAGTGGGAATAATGAACACCTTTGTAGGAAATAGGACAAGTGCGGATAGACCTACGACAAGTCGCCGACTTCCTGTCCTCGTCGAGCCCACTAATGTTAGGATTAATTGACTCCAGAGACACAAGGGCACTGCGAAAGTCAACTACCACAACACAGGAATGTTGACAGCGAGAAAGCAGTTTACAAGAGCATACAAAATTGCATAAAGATCTGGCGTGTTGGTGCTAGTCTCCGGGGGGCAGGCGACACATATCAGTTCTGAATTATGTACCAGACCTGATAATGTTTTCAGAAGCTGACACAGCTACTAAATTTAATATTTTCTTGTCCTCCAGTGGTGCCTCCCTTGCAAATGAGATTCTGGCATCCCAAGCAAATGTGAGTGACCACCTCTCTGACAGCTATCCTGAGTCTCTGTACCTGTCCCCAGCCAACTCCTCAGATATTATTGACATTATTCTTTCACTTAAAACTAAATCCTGTTCCAACTAAATAAAACTAAACTTCTGAGATACCAAAAATAATCTGTAAAAAGGCCTCAAGGTTTATAGCTCCTGCAATAGCATTGCTCTGCAATAAATCACTGGAGCTCCGAGCCTTTCCAGGTGCTCTTAAATTGGCTAAAGTCATTCCAGTCCATAAGAGTGGAGATCTCACTGAAATCAACAATTTTAGACCAATATCGATCCTTCCCACCTTGTCCAAAACCTTTAAGAAACTCACGTACAAACAACTCTATTCCTTTCTTGATAAGCACAATATTCTCAGTTCTAACCAATATGGCTTCAAGCTCCATAAAAGCACCAAAGATGCTCTTATAAATACTGTAAGCTTAAACCTAATCCATGCAGCTCTTGACAAAAATGAGTACCCCATAGGTCTGTTTGTTGACCAACATAAAGCTTTTGACATTATTAACCACAATAACCTTATTTCTCAAACTCCAATACTATGGAGTCAGAGGTCACTTCCTTCAGTACTTGCAATCTTTCACTTGTAATCATCACATGTGCATTTCTATAGGCCATTGCTCCTCGTGCCTCTCCGAGGGGGCCAGGTTCTGGCTCGTGGTCCCTGGTAGGCCTAGAACTCCACCCACATCAACTGATGCCCGTATGTTTCATGGTCATACTCCATTGCCATACTCTCGCAGGCTAGTATACTTTGGACCATTCTATATCTGCCATCGACTGGGACAGGCACCCAGAAAGGTAAGCGCCCCAAAACAAACCCCTATTAAAAACCATGAAAATAGACAAGCGAGTGGACAGAACTCCCCAATTTGAAAACGAACAAACAAGCATGACGTCACACGAGCCGCGCCGCATGTCTGCATAGCTTCCCCCTTCTCGGATGGAAGAAGGGGAAGCCCCAGATCCCAGCGCCGGCGATCCACCTTGCAGTTCTGAGGCTGGATATCAAAATACGTGAAAACCGCCGACCAGAGGGAGGGAGGGGTGCCGGGGAGCCTCCGTGGCTCACCCAGAAAATGGCGTTGCATTACATTCAACACTGGTTTTCTAGAGGAAGCCCCTACGGCTCCCCGGAACTACTTCACCAAAGACTAGAAATAAAGAAAGAGACTTACTCGGGAGGCGGTCGGTGCTCCACATCTCAACTCGAAGTCGAGACAGACTGCATCCGCCGACCCAAAGTGACACAGGCCCGACTAGGCCCAGGAACGTTAACGAGGTCGCATGCAGCCAAGACCCTGTTCAACCGCCAAAAAACCCGTGCCCGAATGTCAGCCCAGGACATGTTCCCAAAGACGGCAGCAAGAGCAGCAAACTTACAAACGTCATGGGCACGGGGATAGACTGCAGGCTGGCTAGACTCAATAACCCTGCGGACGACCCGAGAGAGACCCATACCCGCGAACGTGGAAGAAAGGAAACCGGATCAACTCAAAGCGCCTTCCTGGACACAAATAACGGAGGGCTGCAACCGGACATCTCATTCTTCGCCAGAAAAGAAGGAGACGGCTGCAGACGAATAAACCTATCTCCAAGACCGAAAGAGCAGAAACTCCTGCACCGGAGGAGAGCATGAAGCTTCCCAACCTGACCCCCAGAGGACAATGCCAACAGGAAAAGAACCTTCGAAAAACAATCCTGAACCAAAGGGGCCACAACAAACCGAGAAGAGAGATAGGAAAGCACTCTAGCCAAAGACCAGGACGGCTCAGGCGGCGCATAAGCAGGCCGGAGGTGAAACAACGTGGAAGACAGCTTGCAAAACAGTGCAGAAGTAACATCTATGCCGAAGCAAGCTGAAGCGGCTCCACCAGCGCCGCACGATACGAGGCGACAGTATTGGGCATAAGATGACGGTCCTGGAAAAACCACGAGCCTGTACTCTGTAGAAAGAACAATACCACCCGAACCGAACGCGAAGTACAACGATGAAGAGTCAAAATGAAACGGAAGGACCGCCAGGAAGCTTCATACTGCCGCCGAGACGAAGCCTGCAGGTGGGACACCATCAGTGAAGCCACCTGATCACCATACAGATGGTGATAAACTCGAGTCAAAAATACCAAATGCGAAGACTCAAGGAGAAGAGTGAACTAGTCTTGTAACGGATCGGGCCGATCTTCTGAAAGAGGCGGAGCCGCGGAAAAACCTCCGGGTTCGGACCCGGAGGTTTTTCAGGCGCTGCTTGCCCGGAGGCAAGCAGCGCCTGAAACCACGGCTGGGCCGGCCACCACGGGGCCGAGAGGACTACCCGCCCTTGGAAAGTCTCCAAGCGAGCCAGGACCTGGAGCAACAGTTGAACTGGGGAGGGGGAAGGAGAGGTACAGGAACCCGCACCTCGACCAGTCATGCCGGAAGGCGTCGATCACGACGGCCTTGTGTCGGGGAAGGGCGCCACATATACCGTAAGACGCCTCGACTACGCCGACGCGAAGAGGTCCACCTCCAGGCGCCCGAACGTCTGGCAGAGCCAACTGAATGAGTCAGCATCGACCTTCCATTCCGTGGACACGGGAACGAACCGGGACAGGCCGTCCGCCAAGACGTTGCACACCACCCCGGACAAGTCCGGAGAGGGGGGGGAAGTCCAGGACCACTGGACCAGGAAAGCCAAACCCCGATAACTCAGCAGATGAGTTACCCGAAGCGACCAGCCCCAAAGAGCCATTATTATTAATATAAATAATTACAATGGGTAGGTCAATATATTGGTTTACAGAGTTAATCATACTGGAGTCTGGGAAAGTTAATAAACTCCCAACTGAGTTACAAATCCGTTTACTTGACATTCACAGCGAACAGGGAGACAGTGGTGGACTTCACGACTCCATACTACCTGGAGACTATCACTCTGGTGTCCCGGGCACCTGCCGAGAAGAGCAGAGCTTTTGCTGTCTTCTCCACCTTCACCACAGAGGTGGGTGTCTACCTCTGCTGTGTTGGTGGGTGTCTACCTCTGCTGTGTTGGTGGGTGTCTACTTGTACTGTGTTAGAGGCCGTCTACCTCTAATGTATTGGTGGGTATCTACCCACCTGTACTCTTAGTGGGATGAAATACCCATTCTGTCAGTGGTTGGACCCCATACCCATCCTGTGGGCGGTAGTGGAAAAGGTTACAGAAGCACACAATTCATTTAGTTAAGCAAATTATTCTTGATACGCTAGTTACACAGTTTTCAGTAAGTTATTATATAAACTGTGTTCAAGAATGACTACAAGTAGTCTCTTAAGTTAAGGAACTTACATTTACAGTAAATTTGTTCCATAATTTGATTCGTTTATCCTGCACATCACCGCCATCCAGTGGACAGCAGTGAAAACGGTTACAATCTCACTTAAAACCAAAGCTGGGAACATTAGTGAAATACCATTTATGGTATATAAAAGTGCCGCTAATGTCCTTGCACCACCCATAGCTCTACTATTTAATACATCTTTAGTGTCATACTTTTCCTGATATCCTTAAAAAAGTAAGAGTAACTCCAGGTCATAAATGAGGCGATACAACTGACAAACACTTACATATTCATATAAAATCTACCAATATCATCAACATTATTTAAACAAATCATTTACAAACAGCTCTACCACTACCTTGTAAAATTCAACATATTAAGCCCTTGCCAGTTTGGTTTACAATGGGAGCCGACGGGGCTCCCCTCAGAAAATAATATGTATTTTTATATCACTGATGTTTAAAGGTTTGGGTGTGCATCCTGGCGTCAACAGTGGCTGTTGGACCATTGGTGAGCGTGGTGGGGCGTGTTGTGGCTCTCTATACTGAGCGTCCTCCCCATCGACAGCTGCCAGAGTATTCCTTCCATGTGTTCCGTAGTCTGGTGTCTCAGGGCAACCTCCTCCGACCCTCAAACTGGCCACACAGGCTTCTCTTCTTCTGCTGGTACCTCTTCTGCTTCTACATCTACGGTAGGTGTTTGATGCTCTGGTGTCAAGTGTGTATATCTCTCCCATCTTTTATATGAATGAAATTAAATACTGTATTCTTAAGATTTGTATTATATTTTATATGAGTTGAGGCACTGTAGGTGTTTTGAAGTCTGTATCAGATAGAAAGAACTGAAGTAGCAATTTTGGAAGTATGGGTAGTGACCTGTACTCTGAAGAACCCTGATCTACAGTGACCTTCATCTTGCAGCACTGTACTCGGGCACCTTGACGGCTGTGCTGGCCTTACCCACCTATGAGAAGCCCATTGATGGACTGGTAGACCTGCCCAAGGCGGTGGCAGAAGGCTACACCATTGGTACCATCAGTGACACCAGCCTCGAGTTTATCTTCAAGGTGCGAATCATTCACTTCTGCTGCTATTATTACTGCAGTTATTACTACTGCTCCTACTACAGCTACAGTATTGCCCACACAAGTTGTCTGCAAATTGATGGGATACATGTGTCACCCTTCACGCTCTGAATTTTGTAAATGTCATGGTGGGAAACATTACTTCAGTTAAAAACCCTGTTGGAAAAATTCCTCAGGAATACTGGGGCGACCTCTAACAAGCCATTGGTTTCTGCCCCCATCAAGGCCACTACAGACATTTTTTGAGATATTTATTTATTTATTTATTTATGCATATACAAGAATGTACATAAGGAATGTGAGGATACAAATATGGTAATTACAGTCTTATAAAGCCACTAGCACGCGCAGCGTTTCGGGCAGGTCCTTAATCTAAGAAAATTTTAAGGAGGTAAATACTTGCAAAAATTATAGACAAAAAAATGATAACAGATTACATGAAATGAAAAAAAGATGAGAGAAAATTGTAGGTACAGTATATTAAAGCACATAGGTAGCTGAGATTGATTGCAATGACAGCTTGAATGGTAGTTGACAAAAAATTGGTAGGCACAATACAGCAGAAACAATATAAGATTGGTTGCAATGACAGCTTGAATGGTAGTTTACAAAAAATTGGTAGTCACAATACAGCATATGGCTAGCACCAATATATACAAGAGATATATACAAGAGTTGTTACATTCTTGTACAGCCACTAGTACGCGTAGCGTTTGGGGCAAGTCCTTAATCCTATGGTCCCTGGAATACGATCCCCTGCCGCGAAGAATCGTTTTTTCATCCAAGTACACATTTTACTGTTGCGTTAAACAGAGGCTACAGTTAAGGAATTGCGCCCAGTAAATCCTCCCCGGCCAGGATACGAACCCATGACATAGCGCTCGCGGAACGCCAGGCGAGTGTCTTACCACTACACCACGGAGACTGCTCGACATCATGGCCCTTAGGTAAATTCAGTTAAATATATTCAAAATGCGGTCCACACTGGTAATTCAGTTGTGTCTGACCTTCCTCATCTTAAAGAAAATGTACGACACTTGCAAGTACAGTACAGCAAGATTATCATATTTTACCCACGTTAAATATTTTTTATCCTCAGACATACATTGCCTCAATTTATCAGAAAAATTTAATTTCTTCACATTTACAGGTGCAATTTGGCCCTATATCTCCTGTTATATACAGTATATTAAAACTCTTTGGTATATACACTATATAGTATTATGCTGCTGCCCAATTCTATATATATAATATAATAAATCCCAGGCAGGACAGAAGTGGTTGGGCACATTTCCTAGCAGTAAACAGATCAGCCCATCCTCTTACATATTAAGTTGCTTTTCGCTCGTATGCATTATGGCAAAAATCGCCGTATTGGAATTTAAAAAAAATGGAAATTAATTTTCCAAATGAAATGGACCCAAAGCAGCAAGTTTTGGGTCCAATGGTAGGTTAGGAGAGCAGCAAGTTCTCCTAAGGTTTCAAAAAGTCATGAAAACCGTTAATTTAAAGTGTCCTCTCCTAACCTAACAGACTAAGCCAGAGGACCCACAACAGAAAACGGGACAGTACATCACTTTTGTGAGTGGCTTTCATTTTCTAGTACAGTATGGTGATTTTAAGCCTATGTGAGCATACGAGCAAAAAGCGACGTAATTGGTAAGAGAACGGGTTGAACAGATACCTGGGAGTTATGCAACTGTTGTGGGGTTGCGTCCTGGGGAAGAGTCAGTAGTTTCACCTAGGAAGGCCTTGGTACAATCCTAAGGTATATATACAGTATTTACAGTATACACACAGGCTTCTTATCCCCCAACAACAGTAATTACTATGTACACAGGCTTCCTGTCCCCTGACAATGGTATTTAATACTCACCATGAATACTATTAATACTCAGCCCAAGACATGTTACCGAAGACAGCAGCTAGCACAGCAAACTTACGAACGTCGTGGGCACAGGGATAGACCGCACGCTGGCAGGACCTAATAATCCTGCAGACGACCTGGGAGACATGAACCCTGGAACAGGAAAGAAAGGAAACCGGATCATCCCAAAGCGCATCCCTGGTCACGGAGACCGTTGCATGCAAATAACGGTGGAGAGCCGCAACCGGACATGATGCAACCCCGGCCTGACCAACCAAGCATCATCAACAACCCAACGACCCTTCCGGAAAGCATCCGTCACATTCTTCACCAGAAAAGAAGACGGCTACAACCGAACAAACCTACCACCAAGACCAAAAGAGCAGAAACCCATGTTGCGGAGGAGAGCATGAAGCTCTCCGGCTCCCACCCCCTCCCCCCAGAAGCCAATGCCAACAGGAAAAGAGCATTGGAGAGACAATCCTGAACCGAAGGGGCCACAACAAACCGAGAAAAAGAGATAAGAAAGAACCCTGTCCAAAGACCAGGTCAGCTCAGGCAGCGCATGAGCAGGCCGGAGGTGAAACAATGCCTGAGACAGCTTGCAAAACGGCGCAAAGTAACATCGATACCGAAAGCAAGCGGCTCCGCCAGCGCTGCACAATACGAGGTGTCAGTATTCGGCATAAGATGACAGTACGGAAACAGCCACAAGAGAAAGGACAAGACCACCTGAACAGAAAGTGAAGTATACTTACGAAGAGACAACAAGAAACGAAAGGACCGCCAGGAAACTACATGCTGCCGCTTAGATGAAGCACGCAGTTGGGACACCATCAACGAAGCCACCTGATCACCATACAGATGGTGATAGACCCGAGTCAAAAATACCAGAAGCGAAGACTCGATGAGAAAATCGAACTAGCCATGTTACTGACCGGACCGATCATCTGAATGAGGTAGAGCCGCCGGAAAACCCCTGGGTTCGGACACCGAGCAAGCAGCGCCTGAAACCAAGGCTGGGTCGGCCACCAAGGAGCCAAGAGGACTACTTTTTCCCCTGGTAAGTCTCCAAGCGAGCTAGGACCCGGAATAACAGCGGAACCGGGAAGAAGAAGTACAGGTAACTCCACCTCAACCAGTCCTGCCGAAAAGCATCGATCTCTGCAGCCTCGCAGTCGGGGAAGGGCGCCACATATACCAGGAGATGCCTCTACCACGCCGACATGAAAAGATCCACGTCCAGGAGCCCGTACGTCTGGCAGA